TCTGTACTCCTTGCACAAAATAAAAGTTTTATAAAAATAGGGCCACTTAAAAGCTAGTAAAAGTTATAAAAATTGATGCAGAATCATTAAAATGGACCTGGCTATTACGCCGCGGCTTCTAGGGTTCGAATCCAGCAGCAGACATTAGTGAAAATTTAAGGATTTCTTCATTTCGTCGTTTCTATTTCATAATTCCAGTCTACTTCCATCTTTTTCTTCTTAGGTGGTTGACTGCCTTTGTGTTTGCTTATTCTGTTGACAATAAAAGTAATATGAAGTAAGTTAAAAGTAAGATGATTTAATTTTAACCCTTCCTATAATTGCATGAAATAATTGTATAAGTAAATTAGATTTACATAATTAAAATTTCATTGTGCTTGCTTTTAAGCTTTTACTTGGTTTTAAGCGGTTTTCAACATTAGACGAGAAGATTCGAAAGAAAGTTCGTAACATTCCATAGGATAAATCATCCAAGATTAATCGATAATGGGGCTGTACTTACTATAGAAACATGATGGGTGTGGCATTCTAAGCGCCATAAACATGCACAGTTGCAACTTGTGTAGTCACCGTAATTACTTCCTGAGAGATCGAAAGACCCCTTCCACTAGACTTGATTACGCGTTAACGCACTACGTAATTCATAGATCCAACGAGCAACGGTAGACAGTATACGGTAATACAGAGCGACGCTGACCGGGAATCGCGAGCTAGACTTGTGAAGTACTGTAAATAATGAATGAATGAAAATAAAATCTAAATACATGGCAGTTTATCAGCCAAGTTCGTAATAGAAAAGGGCTACGTTATAAGCGGACCATTCAAGCTACTTTCGAGCCCCCATAACTCAAGACTTACCCATCAGAAATCTAGAGTACTTTTAGGTTCCTTAAAATCTTGTAATTTGGCATCAAAGTATTAGCTTAGATAAATAGATAGATAACACTTTATTGCACGCCAAAAAAAACAATGGGCGATCTTATCCCTAAGAACGATCCCTTCCAAACAAACTTTAGATGGACAAGATTGAAAACAAAAACTATAAAATAGGACTAAAGATGCATAATATAGAACGCTATCAGTCGTTGCCAATAGCGTTGCTACTTAACTAACTTTACATTAAACAATAATACATTATACAAAGAAAAAAATGTGAAATTTAGAAATTATACATTCGGTGTCAGCAATACCAATTTAATAGTCGACATTGGATTCTTGAAGCTTAAAATGAAAAAATAAAACTGTGAAGCGAACACAACAAAAATCGACGAAACATGTTAAACTTTTTTGGATTAAAAAAATGTTAAAACTTTGTAAAAATGTAAAAGGGGCCAATTTTAATGCAAGTGATATAGAAGTTGAGATCTACACGAGAAGCTTTATAGCTGTTTCAAAAATATTGTACATTTTATGTTTTAAGCAACTACGAACTAAATAATTCTTCTAGTACCGTTGTGACTACATTGTTATGCGTAATCAGCAAAAGAAAGATCATCCACCTTGCATATATGTAAAGCTAAGAGAACGTATAGTAATAACTTTATGGGAAACGCGTAAGGAACACTTTTCAACGGGAATTTAGCTAAAAAGGCCTGATGTTCAAAGTATAATTTAAAAATTTTAATATATTTTATCTATTTGTTGTATAACTTATTACAAATGGAGGCTTACAAGCTTCCCATAACTTTTTAAAATGCTAAGCAATTACATTAATTCACAACGCCACCCGGATCACTTTGGGATACATTATATACGGGTATTTTAACCGAGTTTTCAAACCCCTTATGAATTACATCAGAGAATGGGTCATGTACAAAATATATCGAAATGTAAAACATTTAAAGATTTTTTTAAAAATAATGTGACATATATAAAAAGCAGAAAGTAGAAACTTTGCCTTATTTTTCTTAATAAAAATATTAATTTATAGGCGTCGTTCCAAAGAGTCCTAATGATTACGTCATATATATATATATATATATATATATATATATATATATATATATATATATATATATATATATATATATATATATATATTTATATATATATAACCTAAATAATATAATAAGAGTAATACTTAGTAATAACTTTTCTAAGCCGAAGACGATTATATTAAATCAGAATTCAAATAACTGCGACTGTGACCTTGGAACGAACCTTTGGACTATTTTCATTGACTTTTTTTAATATAACTAAATCGAAATGATGTTTGAAAACTATTTTGTTAAAAGCGTAATTATTTTCCTTTGTAGTATTAAAGTGGTTTATTAGTTTTTAAATTAATGTGTTCGGAAAATATAATAAAATTGAAATTTAGGAATGTAATTTAATATTAAGTATCAGTAGCATAGAATAAATTAATAATAGTACCAACACTAGATACTTAAGAGTAAATTATATAATAAAATTATGTGTTATAAAACAAAGAAACGTTTTATCTATATGTTTGATATATTATGCCTTAAACAGCGTTTAATATCTGCTTAATCGCTATTTCACATATTACTTATCAATTTTGAATTATTCAGGAATTATAAATTAGGAATTTTCTTTAATTCCCAAACATTGGCTTAAAGCCAATGTCCAGAAATTGGTTTATAGTTGGCCCTTGTCTCGGATCATTCAATAAATTATTGATGTCATGTCTGAATTTAGTGATGGTAAAAGTCAGAATTATGAATACGAGTACTGACTTCATCCAAGAATTGCTACGAGATACACAGTGACTCCCGACTATGAAAATATAAATAAATAAATCATATCAGACACCATGATCTAAGAGAAAATCCGTAACCTGTCGTAATAGACTATTTCAAGGATACAGTACTGTGAAAACTAAAAATCAAATTGCTGCATACTGCACCAGAAATATTAACCCCTGGTTCCACTTCTGCCACTGGTCTAGATATTAGACAACTGGAATAAGCGGAATTATTAAACCGCCATCAATCAGAAACCATAAGCTTTTCTGGTATTTACCAAAGTCGCTTAAGATACTCATTGGCTAAATCAAAATGCAGTTGCGTTGTCACCCTTGAGGACTAAGGTGGAATGCCTCTTTTCCAATAAAACGTGTCTCCAGTTCTCTACTCTTACCATATTACGAAACACAGCAGCATTGAGCTGCTATTTTACACTGGTATTTTGTGAGAGCGTGGTTTCACCCTGGTGTACTTCGTTTCCAAAAAAAGGGTCTTCGGTTTCTCTACACTGACCATACAAAACTTCGCAAGCACTAAGCTGCTATTTCAAGCTTGTATTTTCTGAGAGCGTGTTCTTACCCTGAGAACTAAGACGGAATACCTCGTTTCCAGCAAAAACGGGGAAGGGACCATTCAGCAATTGAGTTTATTCTTTTAATACCGTACAATTTCACTTTGCAGTCGCCAATCGCTATCAGATAGACGGATAGCCATTAAATGATTTTTCAACAAATTTACTCCAAATTACAAGCAAGAAAATTGTAAACGCGCATGGCGGTGACGAGTGACGTGTGGTCAAATTCGGATCAATAGTAAGCCGCTTGACTTGTAGTTAAGTTTAAAACCTTCTGTATACATTTGACAGAGCAGACTGACTTTCGAGAACTTCATTTGATAATGAGTTCGTTTTGGCTCAACAGGCCCTGTTGCATCAACGTAATTACTTGAGCTACAAGTCAAGGTATTGGTATAATTTTTTTATTTAAAAATCTTAATTGCACTTAAAATCTACGATTGCCGAACTTGATGTTAACATTCTCTACCAGTCAACCACGAGCTAAGCAGAGAACTTAAGCAGGTGCCACAAAACAAGAGGATAATATACGTAAATGTAAATATAAAAATATACATACCATACGAGTAAATACAAAAATAAATATCCATAGCTACAAATAACCTAAATAATATACTCAATATCTGATAAATGAGCAGGGGGGTGATGTGGCGGCGCTGCAGTCGCGCCCCAAGCGAAACACACCAAAGCCTAAATCGCGCTATCAAAAGTTTCGAATCATAAACAGTATATATAGAACATCTCCGAACTATCACACGGAGTGTCGGCCGCTCCCCGGACAGAACACCTTGCTCAACGGGAGATCTCCCCTTTTCCTTCTACGGTCACAGTGCAACTGCGCCTCAACTGGTAAAACAAGTGTTCGCATCAACATAGCCTTAGTCTCGGTTGGAAGGAAATTCTTAAAACGATACGGGCTACGCAGGGTGATTGTCATTCTTCGGCTTATTTCAGCCACCTGAGATTGCTAACTTAAATTAGCATCAATCGTTAACCCAAGGTCTTTGACTACATGTTTAAGAGGAATAATTGTGTTATTATAAACGATAATGTCTAGTGAATTAAAATATAATTTAGCTAAACGGCGAGAGCTACCGAGAATTATCGCTTGAGACTTAGCAGAATTGACAGCAATTCCATAATTTTCACATTCTAGATTTAAAAATATATATAATATCCGTTTTGATATTGCAGATATATTATGTTTAAGTCTAGTTACCGGATTTTTTATATGACCGTTCTTATATTAAAATTTAAATTTTGAAGACGCGAAACCTTGATATGAAGGAAATTGCGGATATACAACCCGTATAATCCAAAGAAAATCGTCTAGTATTATAAGCATGATTTAAAATTCGAGCGATGGAAAGCAGCTTCATAGTAAAAGGTCTAGTACAGTCAGAAAAACACCTGCCAAGGTTGTGATTACAATAAATTCTTTTGGTACACACACACACACACACACACACACACACACACACACACACACACACACACACACACGCGCGCGCACACACACACACACACACACACGCACGCACGCACGCACGCACACACATACACATACACACACATATATATACATATATATATATATATATATATATATGTGTGTGTGTGTGTGTGTGTGTATTTTTTATTCTCACCCCCTCAAGACTAAGCGAAAGTGTAATATCACTGTCTTATTACTTCTACCTCATATCGCAAGTATATTGTGCGAAATGTCCAAGTTACAGAGAACTCCGCTTAAGTGCCCATCAAACCCAGACATAACTGTAACTACATCGGATGCTAATTATGTAAATATACGTAATCGTTACACTGCAGGGTATGACTCGGAATTTCTGTCCACACTGATTGACGAATATTTTAATACATTAGACGTAAAAATAAAGGAAACTATTACAAATGTAGTTACCTCCACGATTTCCAACGAATTGGCTAAAATATCCTACTCATTATCAAGCCTAAATACAACCATATCCGAGCTGCGAGATGAGAACATTAATATAAAACAAGGTTTTACGGATTTAAATAATCATCTGTCGGAGGTCGATACTACTTTATTCGATCTTAATGAGCAGTCAAAATCGTTTGATACACGGCTTAAGTCCGTAGAAGGTCAAGTCTCTAAAGAAAACTATTTATCTGACAAATTAGAGGTTATGGTGATCAAACTGGCTGCAATGGAGCAACAGGCACGTGATTGTAACATTGAAATATCAAATTTGCCTGAGCGCCGTGGAGAGAATCTTGTTACAGTCATTATTAATATTGGCATGCTAATAAACCAGCAAATCCAACCATCTGACATAATCTTGGCCCATCGGGTTCCTCATGTTGGTGAAAATGATAAACGACCTAAAAATGCCATAATAAAATTTAAGTCCAAAATTTTGCGTGATAATTTTGTAGCTTCGTATCGTGCTAAAAAAGGCTTAACTTCAGATCAGTTGTCTATTACTGGATCATCGAATAAAATATATATAAATGAACATCTAAAAAATAAACAGATATTTCGAGATATTTCGAGAATCCCGTGAAAAGGCCAAAACATGTAACTACAAATATGTTTGGTACAAGAATGGTACAGTTTTGGTACGAAAAACTGACTCATCTCCTGTCTTATACGCTCACTACAGGATCTTAAAGAAATTAAGCTTTAGAACAATTTGTAACAGAAATTTGATATTAATTTTATTTTTATTTTCTTATCATTTATTTTTATTATTACATTTTTGTACTGATATTTGGGGGATACTGATATATGAGAATGTTGTTCGCACATTTACCTCTACAAAAAGGTCAGTAACTAATTTTCTAGACTATTTTATAAAACTATACTTTAAAATGTATTATGCAACAAAATTTTAAATTATCTAATACTTTATTGTTATACACAAAACGTTAACATAATTAAGATATTTTAGTAATTAATCATTATGCACAAATACGGCGCAATTATAAAAGAAATTTTAAAAATTCATCTCATCTACTTAATTTAAATTGTGTATCGAAAATTAATCTTATTTTTTTCACAATATTTCTAACGAAATACTCAAGAAATAATGAACTTTTATTTAATGGATTCCGAAATAAAAACATATCAATTTACTATCAGAACTGTCGAGGCTTAAGAACTAAGTTGCACACTCTTTTTATCAATATTTTACTTCACGATTATGACATAATAATATTGACAAAAACTTGGCTACATAGTAGCATTTATGATAACGAATTAATAGATCAACGTTACAGAGTATTTCGCAGCGATCGGAATCGGACGGCGACCCGCCGTAAAGACGGCGGTGGCGTATGGTGGCGTATTAGTAGCGGTGCGCAGCTCACTTGGTGCCGTGCCATACGACCTGCCCTCCGCGCCTCACGCTCCCCCCGAGCCGCCTCCTATTGTTGACCATACCTTGATACTTATAGGTTCGAGTTCTAATAAGCTTCTGTTATGCGCTTCATACATTCCACCCGATATAAATAATGAAGTATACCTTACTTACCTAGATTACATATGTTATGTCATGCAACCTTTAGACTCATGTAAATTTTTAATTACTGGGAGACTTTAACTTACCCACAATTAATTGGCTTCCTAAAGATAATTATTTAGAACCTAGCTTTTATAGTAACACATGTTTATCTTCTAGGCACTTAATTAATTTTATGGCTTTGACGGACAGCTTCCAATTTAATCACTTTAGAAACTTGAAAATGACCGTACCTTAGATTTATTGATATCAAATATTTTAGAATGTTAAATTATGGATGTTCCTTATAAGTTGTTACCATTGGATAGTCTTCATCCTACTTTTTATGCTTTAGTGCCTGATAATAAGTCTAGTGGCGTGTAGTGGCGGTTGAGAATATCCACTACCCCATATCTTCCCGTGGGTGTCGTAAGAGGCGACAGAGGTACACAAAAAGGAGATGGGCAACAGCATCTTCCTAATAATAACAATAACATAATAAAAAACTGCGATTGCCAACCCGCTCGCCAAGCGTGGCAACTACGGCAAATATCCCCCCATGAGCAACGACGCAAATAAACGGCCCCCAGTCCCCGGCGGCCCCGCTATTCCTGGCTACGGTGGCGACCATGGTAACGGCGGGGCAGGGGGTGCTAAGAATCTCCGGTGGAGGTTCGGTTGCCACCTACGACGACTCGACCTGGCAACGTATAACGCACGCACCCTGAGAACTGACGAGAAGATACTGGAGCTGGAAGAAGAGGTAGACAAGTTGCGCTGGGATATTATTGGATTATCTGAGGTCCGAAGAGAGGGGGAGGACACGGTAATCCTCGAGTCCGGCAACTTGTTCTATCACCGGGAGGGCGACCATCTGTCCCAAGGAGGTGTCGGATTTATCGTCCACAAGCCTCTCGTCAACAACGTTGTAAAGATTGGAAGTGTGTCGACGAGGGTCGCGTACCTGATATAGATCACCAAACGGTATTCGCTGAAGGTCATACAGGTCTACGCACCAACCTCGGCACATCCCGATGAGGAGGTGGAGGAAATGTATGAGGATATTTCTAGAGCCATGCATTCCTCCAAAACCCACTACACGGTGTTGATGGGAGACTTCAACGCAAAACTAGGCACAAGAGAAGGCGGTGAGCTGAAGTTAGGGAAATTTGGAGTAGGGCAACGGAACCGTAGGGGTCAGCAGCTGGCTGACTTTATGGAGAAAGAGGGACTCTTTATGATGAACTCTTTCTTCCAGAAGCGGCCCCACAGGAAGTGGACCTGGTCGAGCTCCGACATTGAAAAATTAGATTGACTTTATTATGACGACCAGACGCCAACTGTTCAGTGATGTCTCAGTGATCGCAAGAGTGAAAACCGGCAGCGATCACCGAATGGTTAGAGGCACACTGAACTTAACGTTAAGTTGGAGAGGTCGCGTCTAATGAAGTCAACGCTTCCGTCCCCCTTCGTGCTCTGATCCAGAATCCCGAGACTTTTCAGCTGGAGTTACGTAACCGCTTGCAGTGCCTAGAAGATTGCAATGCAGTGGACGATATGAATGACAAGCTCGTGGAAACTGTCCATGCGGTTGGAGTTAAGTTCTGCAAGACCCGCCGCAGAAGAACACAAAAACTCTCCGATCACACTCTTAATCTCATGGCTGTTAGACGGGAGATGAGGCTGCAATCCTCAACAGATTTGACAGCATACAGGCTGAACAGACAGATCTCCAAATGCTTGCGGCGAGACTTACGAAACTTTGATACCGATCGTATTAAAGAAGCGATCGAGCGGAACCAGGGCTCCAAAGTCCTTGCCAGAGATCTGTCTGCCAGAAAGAGCCAACTGTCAAAGCTGAAGACTGAGTGTGGCAGCATCGTTTCCGAGACACCTGAGATTTTGAGTGAGATTGAGAGGTTCTGGACAGCTGTACACATCATCGTTGGAGCCACACGCAAGTGTGAGTAACGATCCAAGAGCAAGTCTTACCCGACACTATTCCGATGATATCCCGGACGTTAATCTGAGCGAGATTAGAATGGCTCTCCAGCACCTTAAAAATGGCAGGTCCCCAGGCGAGGATGGAATTACAGCGGAGCTTCTGAAAGCGGGTGGAACACCGGTACTTGAAGTCCTTCAGATGCTCTTCAATTCCGTCCTCCATGGTGGCACTACTCCGGAGGCGTGGAGCAGAAGTGCGGTGGTCTTGTTCTTTAAGAAAGGCGACAACGCTCTCTTGAAGAACTACAGACCGATTTCCCCTCTGAGCCGCGTCTACGTGCCTGTTTTCGAGAGTCATTACGAATCGTCTCGCACGCAGATTCGACGACTTCCAGCCTCCCGAACAAGCCGGTTTCCGAAAAGGCTTCAGTACCATAGACCACATACATACCCTGCGGCAGATTGTACAGAAGACCGAAGAGTACAATCTGCCACTTTGCCTGGCGTATGTGGACTATGAGAAAGCCTTTGATTCCGTCGAAATTGGGCGGCTACAGTCCCTTCAGCGGTGTCAAGTTGACTGTCGGTATATCAAAGTGCTGAAGCGTTTGTACAGTAGGGCTACGATGGCTATCCGAGTACAGAACCAGAGTTCGAATCCTATCCAACTGCAGAGAGGTGTAAGACAGGGTGACGTTATATCCCCGAAACTCTTCACCGCTACGTTGGAAGACGTTTTCAAGCTACTGGACTGGAAAGGATACGGTATTAACATCAATGACGAGTACATCACTCACCTTCAATTTGCCGATGATATAGTCCTTATGGCAGAATCCCTAGAGGGCCTTAGCACTATGCTCAATGACCTCAATGGTGTCTCCCAACGGATAGGTCTTAAGATGAACATGGACAAAACGAAGATCATGTTTAATGTCCATGTCACACCTATGCCGGTAGTTGTTGGGAGCACTATGCTCGAAGTTGTTGACGAGTACGTTTACCTGGGACAAATAGTCCGACTAGGTAAGTCCAACTTCGACCGAGAGGTCAATCGACGGATTCAACTTGGCTGGGCAGCGTTCGGGAAATTACGACACATCTTCTAGTAAGGCATACCTCAATCTCTGAAAACTAAAGTGTACAGCCAGTGCGTGTTGCCAGTGATGACTTACGGATCAGAGACGTGGTCCTTCACTGTTGGCCGTATGAGGACGCTCAATGTCGCTCAGCGAGCTATGGAGAGGGCTATGCTCGGAGTTTCTCTGCGTGATAGACTCAGAAATGAGGATATCCGCAGTAAAACCAGAGTGACCGACATAGCCTAACGGATTAGTAAGCTGAAGTGGCAATGGGCCGGCCATATAGCTCGAAGAACCGATAACCGAGGGGAAGAAAGGTTCTCGAGTGGAGCCTCGTACCGGTAGGCGTAGTGTAGGGCGATCCCCCACTAGATGGAGTGACGACCTGGTAAGACATGCAGGAAGTCGATGGATGCAGGTGGCTCAGGACCGTGCTTTGTGGCATTGCTTGGGGGAGGCCTATGTTCAGCAGTGGATTTGTGAAGGGCTGTAATGATGATGATGATGAATAAGTCCAGGCCAAAGATTTCACGAAGACAGTTTTGTTTTCGAAATGCTGACTACTTAGTCATAAATAATGAGCTTTCCAAGGTACCATGAGACGAAATGTTCTCAGGTAAATCTGCTGAAAGGGTGTGATAATTTTTTACGAAATACTCTATGGTTTTATTAAGAAGTTCATACCTACAAAAATCTTAAAACAATCTTCATTCCCTGTTTGGTTTAACGCCATTCTGATTCACACTTTCAAACGTAAAGAGCGTGCCTGGATCAGGTGGAAATATGAAAACTCCTATGATTATAACGAATTTTCTAGGCTTAGAAAGTACTTTAATAAAGAGTATGCAATAAGATATAAAAACTACATATGTCAATTCAAAATAATATTAAAAAAGATATAAAGCATTTCTGTACATATATATCAAAGCGTAAAAATACTGCTAGTACTCGTATTCCTGACAGTGTTTACTATAATGATAATAATGCCACTAATCCTATAGAAGCATGTACCCTATTTTCAATGTTTTTTCACTCAACCTT